ATACAGTGCAATGCAGAATATCACCAGCTATAGAGGAGTACAACAAAATCCCAGCAATACATTGTACATACAGTGTATAATGTATTGCTGGGATTTGTATTCCTATGTATAATATACAGTACAATGTACCATCAGCTATAGAGGAATACAAATCCCAGCAATACATTATAGAGCACCATGTGTGGGAAAGTGCAGGCTTACCTGAGCAGTCTTCCAGCAACTTGCTTCTGAGATCGGACCTGTCTATCAGCAGCTGTCATCCCCCCACACCTGCTCCTCCTTACTCCCCGCATCCCCGCATCCCTGTGCCGATCGTTGATGTGGATGGCCAGGAAATGTGAGGCGGGGAGGAGGTGCGGCGTGTGGAGCGCGGATGCGAGCGGGTCTGGCAGCGGCGAGCATGAGGTGGGGAGGAGGTGCGGCGCAATGCGTGTGGAGCTGTGAACAGGGCCAACTGATCGGAAGCCGATTAATCGATTATTGAAAAAGTTGACAACTTTTTCAATAATCGATTATGTCGATTAGCTGTTGCAGCCCTAGTTCCTTTAAAACAGAGGTAGCCAAACTCTGGCCCTCCAGCTGTAGTGAAACTGCAAATCCCATGATGCATTTCTCTCCAGGAGTCATGTCTGTGAAAAACTTGCAATGCCTCATGGGATATGGAGTTCCACCACAGCTGGAGGGCCGGAGCCTTGGCTACCCCTGATCTAGAAGATCCATCATCTACGGACACCAGCAAAAAAGACTGAGGATGTTCTGGAGTGGGAGGGGTTATATGAAGGCCCTCACAGCTCTGGCCAGCACCCCATCATCTGGCGATACCGGATTTTTACCCAGTAGTCTATGAATTGCGTGACTCCTGTACCGTACGATCAAGAAATAACATTTACAAAAATGTTCATCTCCTAAACCTCTTCCAACTAAAACCCATACATACCTTCCCGTATTACCAGCAGCCGGAATGTAAATCCCATTGGGGTATCCACAGCACTCATAAATAATGAAAACGCATTGCAACACATTTCCAAAATGTCTCAACATAATTTATTTTTTTTACGTTAAAATGTACAGTTTTTTTTTTCTGAAAGCACTTACTAGAAAGGAGGAGAGGGGTCCGGGACATGGGGGTGAAAGTCTTATTACATACAAACCAGACGGGGCAAGTAGAACCCCACAGCGTCAAGAAAAGGCCGGAGGAAATAAAGTTAAAAAAAAATAAAAATAAAATACAAACTACAATATGAGTTGGGGGAGGGGGGGGGGAGATAAAACCATTATTTAAACCCTAGAAATGTACAGGAGGAAGGAGGAGATGTCAGTTTGCATAAGCATCTTCAGGACTCTTTATTGCAGGACAGATACTTTGGATCTCTATTACCATGAGCGCATTGATTGGATGCATTTCGTCATAATTTACCCATCGTTATAAGAGACGGCAAATATCTGTCCTGTTTGGGGTTCGTCTCTAAGCACCCAAGAACTGGGAACATCTCTAAGCTCCCATATCAAGCTGTGCCATCTAGGAAGAATCTGCATAAACCGTTCAGTGATTGCATCAGTCACCTATCCAAGGGTGAAGGCTACAATTGCATGGAGTCAATGGATCTCTATACATAGCAACTTAACGCACTTATTAAAAACAACAAAAAGCTGGTGACATCACCAGTTCCCTATGAAGAATTAACAGCAAGCAAACGGCCGATTTCCCCAATGCTGGCCATACACACCTAGGCAAGCTATGTGATGACATAGAGCGAGAAGCCATGCCTGAAACCTACCACGGTTGGTAATGACATCAGAGGTCTTCCAGCACGCTGGACGCTGGGATACTTTAACATAAACCAGACCAAAGAATAAAAATCGCACTTGGAAAGTAAATACTGCAAATCATAAACCAGATATTAAAAGGGGGAAATTTGGAAGTCAAGCAGGGCTGTTGACTAGCTGTTATAAGAAACGTTATCTATGATATTTGGCAACTGCGAGAAGCGTAGAATCGCATTTGCACATTTTCCCTACTTTACGTGAACAATGTACAATAGCAATTGCGTGGATTTGATGAATTCTGCAAATAAGCCAAATCTGCATGCTTTGCACTAGGGATGCACCGATACTAGTATCGGTACCGGTGCCAAGTATTTGGGCGAGTACTCGTAGTCGCCCAAATGCCCGATACTTCCGGTATCACTTGTGACGAGAGACAATGGAGCCACCTTCCCGGCCAATCAGGAAGCCGGGCAGCATGTAATGATTACACGGCGCCTGGCTTCGTGATTGGCCAGAAAGCCGACTCCATGCTTTCTCGTCACCTAGTGGCGAGAAGCATAGGGAAGGCTTCCCTGCTAATCAGGAAGCCAGGTGGCGAGTCATTACACGCCGCGTGGCTTCCTTAATGGGACTTCTGGTATAGGTATTCGGTATCGGTGAGTACCAAAAAAGAAAATATCGGTACTCGTACTCGATACCAGAAAAACGGTATCGGTGCATCCCTACTATGCACAACCATCTGCTGTGCCTCCGCAAACCTCCCAACCACTTCAATTATTATTAGGGCCAGTGTCCACAAGCTTCTTTCTTCAGAACTACTTCCCCCCACCATACAAGTCTATAGGAAGGCAAGAAGCATCTTGAAGCAGGTTAAATGCACCGGCAATGACTAAGCATTTCAAACGGATGTCAAAAGCACGCTGCATTTGCCCATCAAAGCCCATGGAGACAAGTCCTTACAATAATGAGCAATACTTTACATGGCTAGCCTTAGTGAAAGCTGAACTACACAAGAACTTCTCCTAATTCTGAGCAGGATGAAGGTCTATTTGATGGGTGCCATAAATTGTTCTGTGTACAGTAAGACCCCTGAGTCATTTGGAGATCTTTTCACAGCCCCTGACCAGATCTGTGGATAGCAACATCTCCCCACCATAGTTCCTGTTGGGACAGCTGATGGCCAAATTTGACAAAGATCACTTGGTTTTCACATAGGCAAAGAACAAGACGTTGTGAAGTACTGCAAAGCTTTCTATGCGTTTTTAGCTAAATACCAAGGACCAGATGGTGCCGGTGTTCTATCGAAAGTTCCAACTCGTCAAAATCTCCAACTACCTCACTGCCAGGTACTTGCACGATTTCAACCAGACGGCGTTAGACTGCAAAACGCAAAGACTTGACGGAGCTCTGTACAGCTGCATTTTAACAATATTAAGCGGGTGGCAAACTCGACGAGTATTCTGAAAACGCAACTGTACAGAGCTCCAGTCTTTATGAGCACTGGAAATTAGGTAGTTGGAGATTTCGATAGAACACCGGTCTATGTCGCCGCTCTGCAATACGAAGGACAGAGAGAGGAAAAGATGGCGTTTGCTGAACATTGCATGAAGGGAACATGGGGCCGCGTATGGTGAGGCACTGCTCTCGTGAAGATTGGCCCGGCTACTGTGATCATCTACGTCTACCTCATAGGGCGCACAGATCGGCAGGCACACATTATTGCTATGGTAAGGCATCAGCACACTACAGAATATTACTGCCCTTTAATACTAGACTGGAAAGGTGTGGCATGGAGACACAAGCCAACCCATCCGAAGAGCAAAACAGGCCAGGCAGAAAGTGACAATATACAATATATAATATATATACACACATAGGGACTCTAAATATTAAGAGCAAAACACATTCCGAAGTACTAAAAATATAGATGCAGTCAATGCGCACACCTGATGAGTGACTATGTTATAAAATGCCCCCCTATTGCACGTAGGTGGGGGGGATTATACACAATGAAACGGGTCTGTTCTTTGCCCAGTGAACTATACCTATTGATCTCTGGCATTGTTCATGGAACCGTTATACTCAAGGTCCAAGCAGGGGGTTACAACGGAAGAATTTATTGTAGACACTTAACCACCAATCCCATGACATACACAAACTGTTCCTATGTACCTCCCTTCCATCTGCGGCAATAAGTGCTTATTATTAGGATGAAAGAAAGGTCAGGCCAGCTCGTATGGATGCAGCAGAGGAGCATCAAGTTTAGGGTGGAGTCCCGTGTGTATAATGTATGTATATGTGTGTGTATATACATACATGTGTGTGTATATGTGTATATATATATATATATATATATACACATAACATAAATAAACACATACATATATACACACACACATATCCACAATTAAATGTGAATGCAATGTGAGTGCATCCAACACTGTGGTCATTCTTTAAGCTATATATCCAGGGGAAGGCTGCGGTGGGGAACTCAAAATCCCAGCATGCATCTTGCAGGGCACACTGGGCCTTGCCGCTTTTGTCGCTGGAGTGCCAGACGTCAACTTACAACTGCTACACCGCAGCCCCTAAAACCACCAACCAAAAGTGGTTGCAAGGCCAATACTGAACACACACAAAAACCCTCCCCGTCCCGTGACCCGAGGAATAATTTAAACGCCCCTCTGCTGCCAATTTGAGCACTTAGCCCTCGTTCACACCTGAGCGTTTTGTAGCGCGTTCTACGCGCGACGAACGCTCTACAAAACGCTGAAAAATATAAATCCCATTGTATTCAATGGTCTCGTTCCCACCTTGGCGTATTTACGCCCGTCCCTAACGCGCTACAAAACGGCCCACGCCTGAAAAGGTACAGGTACTACTTTGGGCCGTTTTGTTGCGCGTTTCCATTGGGATACAGCCAAGTAGCCTTTGGAAACGCGCTACTTTTTTACCGCGAATCGCGGTAAAAAAACGCGCGACGGTCGAGCATATGCAATACGCCTAGGTGTGAACGAGACCTAAATGTCTTCTTCCCCCTTCCAACCCCATTCTAGAGATCGAAATAAAAACGATGAGCAAAATAAACAGCGGAACGTACGGTTAAAAGTACACAGTCACCATGGCTCCTTGTGGAAGCCTATGGCGGAATAAGGCTACAGGGTTACAATTTTTTTTGTCTTTCATGATATTTTGTTTTCTTTTAAACTTGATTTCTAAAAACAAGAATTGTCTTTTTTTCCTATGACCGTGCGACTTTTACCGTTAACCGTTTGTATCTGTTATTTTTGTGGGGTTTTTTTTATTCTGTTATACCATAGAGGAAAAAAAAATAAAGTATGGGAAAGGACTAAAAAAAAATCCGCCGACACTTTCATATAAACTGGAGAGTGACAAGAGAGAGAGAGAGAATGAGAAAGAGAGGATGAAAAAAGAAAGAAAAAATACCTTTCTACAGAAGAGAAAATAACAGGAGAACCCCACAAAAGTATATCTTTGCAAGGGAAATAAAATAACAATAAAAAACATAATATTAAATCTACAGCAAAGGGATATAAGGTAGAGGGGACACAAGTCCTGTCAGTATAAAAGGCCGTATTTATAGTCTGCAAGAGAACATGAGGGGCAGGCGAGCAACTTGCACCGGTTGCACTGGGGGCCCCCCTCATCTCCTCATATAGGGGGAGTTGAGAGTTTGTTTGGGGACAGGAGGGGAATTCATATAGGAGTGGTGAGGAGGTGGTGTGTACATCATATTTCCATGGGGATTCGGCTGCATAGGTTGCTGGGTATAGGCTTGGGCACCCATCATGCCCATGCCAACCTGCATGGGGTACTGTGATGTCTGGTTCATATAGGCTGCGTTACTATGATAGGAGCTGTTGACCATAGGCTGGGACATGCGGTACCCTCCCATGGCATTGAGTTGGTTCATGGTGTTGACATTGTACGGTCCGGCGGGCATAAGATTGACGCCCATGTTCATGCTTCGCTGGACGGTAAGTCCCCGGCTTGAAGGCTGCATACCTGGCGTGCTGCGCCCGTACAACTGTTGCTGGTGAGGGGATGGAGGAGCGGGCAGTGGTGCAGATTTGGAGCGGATTGAAATATGCCCCTTGACAGGCATTTGACTCTGCATACGCTGGCTGTGGGGGATACCAAGGTTGCCCGATGACATGTTGCACTGGAGAAGGTTCATGGAAGGAGGCGGGGTCATGGTGGCTTGTGCTTGGGATGCCCCTGACAGTGGATGGGAAGAAGTAAGCTGGGACAGGCCTGGGTTGGAAAGGGACACACTGTTTGCATAGGAAGTGACGGCCGAAGCATGGCTGTAAGGCATAGGATGAGTGTCCATGATAGTGTTGGTAAGCTGCTGCAACTTTGCCAGGCTAAAGGTGGCCGAGGGCTGGGAATAGCCACCTGCCCCAAAATCCCCTGGGTAGATGCTTAGATTGCTGCCATTACCCTGGTCTGGGATCTCCATGATCATTGGTGAGGGGCCAAAGTTGTTGTTCATACTGCACTGTGACATTGGGGGTTGCTGTTGAGGGGGAGGTTGGGGCTGCTGTGGGGGCATCGGAGGTGGTGGAGGAGGGGGTGGTGGCTGGTTGTTGTTGCTGCTGCTGCTTGGAGGGCGTTCTGAGGCACAATTTTGTGGCGACTTAATGCTACAAGCCTGCGTCGTTTGCAGCATGCTTGCCATTCCAGCCATTTGTTGGCTCACAGAACACCCATTTTGTGCCATGCTGGCAGAAGAGGGCAGTCCCCCGGCTCCGCTAGCATTTCCACCACTGGCATATGAACAGCTGCTTTGGGAGGAGATGCTGCCACCTCCCATGCTGGAGTCATAACTGCTGGGATTTTCATAGTTCTCAGTCGTGCTCTCAATGCTGCCCAAGTCACTGAACCCGCTATCCACCACCTGTTGCGAATGATCTGACACAGAGGGCACGTCCATCATTGGGCTGGTTGTTTCCAAGTTCTGCATAGATGGAGCAGAAAGGGATCCTGCATCGGGGCTGATTTGAGGGTAAGTCCCAGTTCCGTTACTTTCAAGAGCTGGAGGCACGCTGGGACTGCTTGCAGAGCGCACCGATTGGCTGGGGTGAGAATGGACTGAAGAGATTGGACTGCCATGGGCCGAGGGATGACATTCATCTGACAAGCCCAGCTGTGGGTCCTCCTCTGCTTGTGTGAAACTCTGTAAAGTCTGGCAGGCTGTCAGCGTCTCATCCTCGCAATCTCCGTATGTGCCATCATCATGCTCACTTCCTTCCTCCTGTGTTAATGATTGCACTGCTTGCACAGTCTCCAAGTCTATTTCCGTGTGCGGGATTTCCTCCTCACCATCCTCCTCATCCTCCTCATCCTCCTCCTCTTCTTCTTCTTCTTCCTCCTCCTCTTTGTGGTCCTCGTCTACCTTTTCCGGACTCTGCTGTTCTATACATGAGGGTTGATCAGGCACCTCTGTTGCCTCTTGTTCCTGCTCACCTTCTGCCTTCTCCTCCTCTTCACTGCTGCTTCCAACACAAGGCTCCTGTGGTTCTGGCTCCTCAGGAACAGGGCCCTGTTCCTTTTCCTCTCCTTCATCGGGCTCTTTTGCACCTTCATCTTCATCATCTGCATCATGATCTTCCTGATGATTTGATGCAGGTGCTGCTGTTACTTTTTCCTCCAGACCCTTTTCCTCCTCCTCTTCTTCCGGTTCGTGTTCTTCCACAACAGGTTGAAGCTCTTCCACAGGCTCCCTTTGCAGCTCTGGAGACCCTGAACGATGCTCTGCTTCCCGGGAGGAACCGTCACTACTGCTGCTACTACTGCTGCTGCTCTCAGATGGGGATGCAGGTTGCACAGCAGTGATGATCGTCTCAGGCTCCTCTTCTTCAGTAGCCTTCTCTTCCACTGTTTGCGTCTCTTCCTCCTCTTGTTCCTTTGTCTCAGGGACATGATCCTCTGCGGGAGGCTCTTCCTCTCTATCACGTATCCTTGGTTTGCGTCCTGGTCGGGCAGGAGGAGGATGATGTGCGGGCTCTGGGGCAGGAGGTGGGTCCCGATTGAGCTTGAAGCCCGGTTTACGTCCTGGTCGTTTCTTCCAGTGAAGAGGTTTTCGGCTCTTCCCTTTAGGCCACCCTTTCTTCTTCACGGGCGGAGGAGCAGGGGACTCAGGCAGCGCCGGTGTATTCACTGGAGGGCGCAGGTTCGCCGCGGGTGGTTTCAATGATGCCACTGCAATGACAAAAACAAATATTAAACTTTATAATGTGTGTTTTAGCTAAGCAAATAAATGCAGTATACAGGATGTAGTTAGAACAATGAGGCCCGGTGCAGACCTCCGCAATCCGGGATAGCTCGGTCCTGCACAATGCAGGCTGCGATTGCTGCGTGGCCCCATTGATTTAAATGTGGGGACATCCGCGCGGCAATCGAAGATAAAAGGTACATGTACCTTTTTTTTGCGATACACGAATGCGGCTGTTTTAGCGCGATCCGCCCGGTGCGACTGGCTGGCACCCACAGAGCAATCGGTTCACACCTTAGTGACTCCTGACCACACGGCAATCCGAGCGGACTCATGCACGATTGCCGCGCGGTGAGGTGTTGCCTAGGTGTGCACCGGCTCTCAAGGAGGCAGCAAGAACACTCAAGTCAGACAATAGATGTTTCTAATGGCAATAATTAAAAACCATGACAATTCTAGCACGCATAGGAGACACACGGGTTCTGGGATCTCCAACAAAGCCAACATGAATGGAAGAAATATGTATACTGTGTCACCCTATAAACTGTGCTATAGTCTCACCTTGCAGTTGCTCGCTGATTGATCTCCTTTTGCCCAGTGGGCGGTTGCGTCTTAGAAGAGTGTGCGGGGTGAGGTAGGGGAAGTATCCTGGAGGGAATGGGCCGCCTCGGTCGTTTCCCTCCTCTTCCGGCTCCAGTCTTGGCATTGGGCGCTCAGAGTCAGAATCGTCAAATGGTTCATCTAACACCTGGGTAGTCTCGGATATGGTTTCGGTCACTACGCTGCTGTTGTGATGGTGCTTACGCCGCCGCACGCGCCGTCTCCTATGTGGTCCAGGCTTCTAGAAAAGGCAAAGGCAAGAGTCAAAATACAACCCGTGGTGGAATGTCAAGCGGTGAACATTTTTCTTTTATAGTGTGAATTTCTGTAAACTATAAGTAATAAATGCCAAGACACCAACGAACACAGAACTCTGCTATCCTTCTGCGCTTGGAAATCATTTACATATAGATAAATATCGGAGTGGAAATTTACAGAGTTGAGTAAAAACAAAATGACCAATTCAAAAATCCTAAACCATTTCTAAAGGACACTGTGCAGAATGATAGGTCACTCTTACGTAACTCCCATTGTGAACACAGAGACTTCAATAAAGGTGGCAGTGACACCTGCAGGCTTGAAGCAGCATAGTCCATACTATTACAACTGAACATACTAAGAACTAGGGGATGCACCGTTACAAGTATCGGTGCCGATGCCGAGTATTGGTAATCGTACTCGCTCATATGCTCCGATGCCTAGCCTGATACTTCATGTATCAGGAAGCCGGGCAGCGCGTCATTACACGTTGCCCGGCTTCCTGATTGTCCGGGAAGCCAGCTCCATGCTCCCTCGTCACTTGTGACAGGAGAGCATGGAGCCCGCTTCCTGGTTGGTCGGGAAGCCAGCTCCATGCTCTCTTGTAATGACGCGCTGCCCGGCTTCCTGATTGGTCGGGAAGCTGGCCAATCAGGAAGCCGGGTACTGTGTAATGATGCGGTGCCCGGCTTCCTGATTGGCCAGGAAGCCGGCTTCATGCTCCCTCGTCAAGAGGCGACGAGGGAGCACGAAGCCGGTTTCCGGGCCAATCAGGAAGCCGGGTCGCCGCGTCATTACACGGCGCCCGGCTTCCTGACTGGCCAGAAAGCCGGCTCCATGCTTTCTGGCCACATAGTGACGAGAATCATGGGGATGGCTTCCCTGCTAATTGGGAAGCCGGGTGGCGAGTCTTTACACGCCGCCCTGCTAATCAGGAAGCCAGGTGGCAAGTCATTACACGCCATCTGGCTTCCTGAATGGGACTTCCGGTATTCGGTATCGGCGAGTACCGAAAAAAATATATTGGTACTCGTGCACGATACCGAATTATCAGTGCATCCCTACTAAGAACGGTATATTAAAGGGCTGCACTGCCACAGCAACCAGATCTTACTCAACCTATGAAGTCACATGATCTGTTACTTTGGGCAAAAGGCACTTTTTTTTTCTAGTATGTGCATGTATGCATTTGACAATAGGGACCTTAGATTGTAGGGACTGATGTGAGTGTACAATATGTAAAGTGCTGCAAACATTTTTGGCATTATATAAATGTTCATAATAAATAAAACACTAGCTGTCTGATTGGCTCTGGTTTCAATGCTTACCGAGTCAATGACCTGAAACAAGGTTACAAAGTGAATCACAACTTCTGATCTATATACTTGTCCCAGGTCAGCGACTTATAAGAACTGAAGTGATCGGATTAGCTTAGCCTATGTGCGTCTCAGTACAAGCTTCCTTTCATTGATTTGAGTTCTCAGAACAACCCCAGGGTTATAGTTAAAACTCAACTGCAGACAGACATCTTGAATTAGCTTATTGCCAACCCTGTAGAACAGAGCTGGGGGGAGAGAAAAGCAGCACAAGGAACTAGACAGTTGTGCTGCAGTGCTCAGCATTCTGATAGGAGGAGAAAGCAGAGCGATAGAGAGATGAGATCATTATGCTGCTTCCCTTCTCGCTGTCAGTCACAGACTGGAGGAGGGGACAAGACCTACAAGTGGTTCTGAACAACAGCAGAGAAAGGTCAGGTCTCCAGCGGCTGTGTAAAACTCAGGAATGGACAAATGCAGATCATTTGGCAGGTAAATTAGCTCTCATATATACATTTTTATTTGTGCATTTAGTAGGATATAAAAAGGCCGCCGAAACATATTGGCCGAAATAGCGGTGCTCTCCTCCCCGTTGGGCGCTGCTCTGTGCCCCAGCGGGGAGGAGAGAAACTGTCACAGGCGGCCGAGTGCTGCAGGAGGAGAGCGCTGTGAGTGGCCGCAGTCTCTCCTCCCACACCACTCGGCCTCATGTCACAGATCGGGAGAGCGGTGTGGGGACGGAGACAGCCAGCGCTGTCACGGGAGGCTGAGCTCTCCTCCCTGCACCGCTCGCTCAGCCTCCTGTGACAGCGTGTCAGAGAGGAGAGCGGGTACAAGCAGTCCGTGATCGCTGAGTGTTTGTACATAATTGAGGACAGAGTATGTTTACTATATCCTCAATTATGAATGAATGGAAAGTGATCTACCTCACTTCCTGTTCATTCATAGTTGTGGTTATAGTAAACATACTCTGTCCTCTTGTTATGAATGATCAGGAGAGGATTCCTGATCATTCATAACAGGGGCTGCAGAAAAAGAGATTGAGGACTTTGTGTCCTCAATCTCTTTTTCTATTTTAAAAAGGGAAATATCAGGGGTCTGTTTAGACCCCCAATATTTCCCCGAAGCCCCTAAAAGTAAAGTAAAAAATATTTAATAAAAATGAAGTAAATATAAAAAAAAATTAAAAAGTTTATAAAAAAATAAAAAATATAAAAAGAATTTGAAAAAGTTAGAATAAAAAACATTTTCGGCTTGACATTTTTTTATCCATTTCGGTGGACCTCTAGTATTTAGCTGTTAGTCTGGAGCTCAGCTTTACATTACAACATTACTGAACTCTCTCAATAAGATAAGTGTCATCTTATTAATAGTAGTCAGTGGCTCAGTAGCTACAGCAGCACCAACAGCCTGGCAGCCTCTAGCTTGGGAGCTAGAGGCTGCCACCATATACATACCAATGCCAGGGTCACATATTTCCCCTCACAGGATGGGCAAATGATGACTGCCAGATAACTGGGTAATATGTCCTAGTGAACTCGTCTTTACTAAACACATACCAAAATACATGGTTGTCCCCTGTGTAGGTAACAGGAGGGCTTTAGATGACCCATTGCTTTCACCTTACCTTGCGTTTGAGCGTCGGTTTGGTGAGGATAGGCGGGGACTCTGAGCGCATGCTGCGATTCTCTTCGTCATCTTCGTCTTCATCGTCCTCCTCCTCCTCGCTGCTCTCACTAAACCTTCTTAACTGGGCGTGTTCGCTCTCATACCTCTGGGAGAGCCTTTCTTGATGCTCCAGGAAGTCTCTTCTCAGGATAGAGTCTGCCAGTCTCTTCAGCCTCCCCCTCCGAGAGCCAGCGCGGCCACGTTCACCGTTGCGCCGCGGAGGTACCGGGGTTTCCCTCGCCAGTAAACGCAACAGGTCGGCACTTCGGTTAGAAGAGGAGCATGGTGCCCGGCCGCGCCGCCCTCGTCTCCCTCGGCGACCTCTTCCCGTCGGTGGTTTATTAGGTATGCTTTCCCGCAATAAGTCCTGGAAATGCCGTGGGTTTGGAAAGCAAGGTAATGGCGATTGTGGACTGAGAGGCCGCGGAGGTTTCTCCTTCTCCAACACAGGGCATGTGTCTCTTTCCTTGAAATCTAGAGACATGCTTCTCAACACTGGCGTCTGTAAATGAAGAAAAATATTCTCTCATTAAGAAGGATTTAAGATCCGCCAAATTAAAAAGAAACATCGATATTAAAATATATAAGGCCAAGTTCTGAATACAGAAATAACATTCTAAGCAAAGGAGTAATCCACTATTAGAATGCATGCCACGTGTTAATATTTAACACTGGCAAATAACTTAAAATTTAGGAACGGAGTATTGGGCAAAGACCATTCGGGTGAATGGAGGAAGACATTGTATTATCACAAAGTGTGGAGATGACTGGTAAAATATATCAGAACACATTACATGACAGTTATGTGTGATCAGTGGTTTTCCACTAACGTAAAAACAGGTTCATTGAATTCTATAGAATTGTGTCTCCTGCAAGGGGGGTGCATCCTAAAAGTAGGAAGGCCTTTACAGCAGTGGTTCTCAACCTGTGTAACCTCAGGACCCACATTTGTCCTCGGTCATTAAGTCGCAACCTAAGTTGCACTGCGATGGAATGCACGGCAGTGTGGGCTGCTGTGCTGTGACGGAGCTCCATCCATATGTGCATTGCTTGCACAGCTCCCATGTGCGCCTGTAGAGGTGACGGGAGCCAGAATGTGATGTCACTCCAGTCCAGGCATACGAGGGAGCTATAAGCAATGCATGTATGGATGGAGCTCCCTCACGGCCATACCCTCAGCCCAACCCAAGTCGGCAGTCAGTGCCGGGCAGCATATTTTGAATGGCTGCTCAGTGTGAGAACTGACTCCAAGGACAAACATTTTTCCATTTTGGATACAGTAGGAAAGGGTTAAAACACTGTGGCTTTTCTGCCATCTATGTCTCACTAGGGAGATTTCCCTTCACTTCCTGTCCGGTAGGCTCAATAGAAAGTGAGGGATATTTTTAGTTGTCATGGCAACAAGTGTCCCTATTGGAAGATTTATCATGTTTCTATTTGGTGACAACTGAAAATGCTGGATTTACCTTCACTTTCAGTCCTGATGACATTGGTGATCAGGACAAAAAAAAGAAAAAGTGGATCTCCCTAACGGAGACACAAACTGCGATAAACACTTCTCTCCCCACGCTGTCCAAACCTGAAATGTTATGCCTTTAGTTATACTTTAAAGCAGGGGTAGCCAAACTCCGGCCCTCCAGCTGTGGCGAGACTACAAATCCCATGATGCATCTCTCTCCGGGAGTCATGGCTGTGAGAATCTTGCAATCCCTCATGGGATTTGTAGTTCCACCACAGCTGAAGGGCCGGAGTTTGGCTACCCCTGCTTTAAAGACTAAAGAAAATTTCCTTTCATCTTACTTTCCAAAGACCACACCTCAGGACCTCAGTGCATGCCTGGTCCTCTGCAGCCTGCTATTGCTACTTACATTGTTTTCCTTCAGCGGTTGCCCTTCTCCCTCCTCTTCCTCATCTTCAGACTCCACTTCATCATCAGATACCACGGAGTTGGTGACTATGACAGGCGTCCACCTCAGGGCCTCTGGTTCTACTTCCACCTGCCGCGGCCGAGCGTGCAGACGGCTCATGTGGGCATGGATTTGTTTTTCTCGCCGCACCATCACAACCCTGAACAGAGACAACAGAGAGACTGATTAGTAGATACCATAAAACATAAAAAAAAGAAAAGAAATGCACTGGAAAGGAAACAAAGAAGTTTGCAGAAACCGTACCGGTCCCCTCGTAGCTCCAGCATGTGCAATTGCTGTAACGTGGCGGCAATGTCCTGGGGACAAATTCCGGTCAGTTTGGTAAGCCTCTTGATACTCAGCTGCCGGTCCTGGTTGTGGTGTAGACACTCCAATACCACGCTCTTCCAATACGCCATGTAAGACAAGCGGCCGAGGTCTGAGAGTGGCTTTTCTGGTGATCCAGCCTGACCTTCGCGCTTAGACAGAAGATAACCTAAAAAAAAAGACAAATCAGTGAGGCGCCAGCAGTCGGTGAGGCCAGGACTAAAGCTTGGCACGTCTTTCTCTGCCAGTAATGGGTCATTCTGGAATCTCTGCCAGTTTCATCTATCAGGACAAGACAGATCGTGTGACTGGTATCACTTGAGTAGACAATGCCCCCCCCCTCCCCCCCGTCTCCTCTCTTTGCTGAAGTCTATGAGGAAGCGGCCGTATCCTTTCCTCTGGTATTGGGGAAGGATCATGATGCAGGACACGTTGTACTTCTGTTGGCAATGCTTCTCCTGAGGACAAACGAGACACAGCAATGTGTTACAGCATAGAACTGGCCCTTCAATTTACATAGCATGGAGATAAGATGCATTTGATACAAACATACACAGACGACTATATGTTGTTATCTCAGACAACCGCATATCAATATCATTTATTAATATACACCACCGGTATTACAGAAAAAGAATCCGAATTTACAGTCACCACCTTGTTATAGAACAACGTCTCTGTCTGAATGATCTGACTAGGATGCATTAAAGCAAATCAATAAATCTTGCTGATATTCACTCCTAAAAGAGACGTCCATGTACATCTAATAGGCGTTGCATAGAGGATGACTAGGAGGCGGTTTAAAGCAGATCTCCATCCAGTACCCCAACGTCCCGAAATCTTACCTTACCCCAACAGCTCTCATACTCAGAGATACTTTATTTGAATTGGTCATATGCCCACTGCTATATTTCTTTCCTAGATGAGCACAAGTCCCCCATCCCCCCCCCGAACATTAACTTCACACGCTCTGGGAAGCTTCAGGACAGTCTCAGCCATCTAGCATTCACACACATCAGAGGTCCAGGTCACTCATCCAAAAAGGACAGTCTACATAGTATCATTAGGGGGGCAGATGCTGCCATTTTGGATTCAGGAGCTGGTTGTCCCTTCCTGAATATGAAGAAGTGACATCTGGCTCCTGAATCCAAGATGGCAGTGCAGAAGAAAAACTATGTGGATCCTTTGGGTTTAAGTTAGGGCTGCAGCTAACGATTATTTTCATAATCAACTAGTTGCCCGATTATATTTTCAACTAATCGATTGGTGGTAGAAAAAAATATTCATTTTCTCTCTCTAACCAACTAATCGATGGTGAGAATAGTTGCCAACTATTCTCATCATCGATTATCGATTTAGCCGATTAGTTGTTGCAGCCCTAGTTTAAGTAAGACCGTGCTGGGCTACATGGACAAGTATGGATGTGTTTTTATTATAACGGACAGGTAATTGGCGGAGCCAAGTTTATTTTTGGGTAGGTGGGTGAAGTTTCACTTCAAAGGAAACCTAAACTAAAAGAACTAATGCTTAGCTGTCATTCTGATCCAATGGCTTCAATCTCACCAACTTATAACAAGTATGCAGATCATGAGTTTTGACTTCCCTATGAGACAGCCAGGCTCATACAGGAACAGCTCAGCAATGACGGGCCATATTTATTTTCACTTATGGCTTCCTTTAAAGTGACATTACCACTCAGGAGTTAAAGTGACATTAAACCCTCAGATTTTGTAACATAAAACAATACTGTAATGTGCGCCTTACTGTAATCCATCCCTATGCATTCCCGCAGCACCCAGTAATACAATACCATGTGCTGCATTACAGTACCTCAGCAAAAAGTTTACCACCAGCCCAGCCAGTCAGCAAAAAAAAAAAAAAAAAAA